ATGAAATATCTGGGGTCAATCAACAGGGTGCCGGTCCCAGCTGAGCCCCAGAACGGGCAGCCTAAAGTGACTTACTTCAAGAGCCCCTAAGCCTCAGGGTCCCCGCCTCCCCAAGCCATCTCTAAAGGGAGGGTTATCAGGCTCACACATGTTAAGCACAAATACTCCATAAAAGAAACTGTGTTATAACAATATCACTACTAAAGAAAATGCAGTGCTGGGGACATACTGCTTAGCAGTCTACCATAAGCAACTTATACCTGAAATGTCACTCTTGGTCAGGATGGATACACTGCTGGGTCCTGCTGGGTGGGCGACTTCCAGCAGCCAGGTCTGCAGACTGTGGAGGGGTCACAACACCTGTTCTTCCCTATCACTCCCCACTGTGCCTTCCATTACCAACACAAGGGTGAGGTGCTCCCATTACTCAAATGTCATGGTCCCTACTGCCATGACAGGTATTTGAGAATGAGACCTCTGAGTTCTAGGCCAGTGACAAAGGTGACTTGTTTTATGTCAAAACTACATTTTTTTTTAAGGATTTATTTATTTATGCATACAAGAGCTGAAGTACAGGCCACAGGTGGGGGGAGGGGTGAGAAGATTCCCCAGAGACAGAGTGGGGTAGCAGAACAGGTGGATCTACTGCAACACACTGCTGAGGGGAGCAGCAGGGAGACAGGAGAGGTCTGCTGCGCCATGTGGGTCAGCTCCCTGGCCGGGGATCGAACTCATGCTGCAGTGGCTGCGGATAGATTCACAGTGCTGTGCTTAACCTCTTGTGCCACTAGGGAGGCCCAAAACTACATTTTTAAAGCGTTTTACTCATTAGATGACAATTTGAACTCATTCAGCCTTAAAAAGTATCCTGTCACCTTCTGCTACATTCCTGTACAGAACTAAAGCTGGCATTACATGAGAAGGGACAAGAAGAAATTAGCAAGGTCCTGGTATATTCCATATATGACTTTTCATTCTCCCCCATAAAAACAGACAACAGACTTTGAATTATTATTTTCTAGTAACTGTAGTCTTAACAGTAAATCAGAAAAAGAACAAACTAAATTGCTAATGACAAACCTCTTTCATATCTATTTAAATGGGAAAAATGAGTATTTCATGCAAACTGAATTACATTAAATCATTATCTACCAATGATCTGAGGGGGAAAAGTTCAGTGTTTGAGCATATACTAGATGAGTATAAGAAGCCACATGTTTGAATGCCACGAGTATACTTTCCTGTCATGCCTTTTTTTTTTTTAAAGATTTATTTATTTATTTATACAAGCACTGGGTACAGTCAGAAGCACAGGAGGGTGAGAGGATTCACCAGAGCCAGAGCGGGGAGCAGAACAGGCAGACTGATGAAGTACACCGCTGAGGGGAGCAGCGGGTGCAGCAGGAGAGGTCTGTGCGCCATGTGGGACCCTCGCCGGTAGCCGGGGATTGAACCAGCGCCACAGAGGCTGCGGGCAGCTTCGCAGCCCAGCGCTCAACTGCTGCACCACCGGGGAGGCCCTCCTTTCATGCTTATGGATGAATGATAAACAAAATGATAAACAAAGATGGATGAGTGATAAACAAAACTAATGCAAATAAAAGTAAGCTATCAGAGGGCCTCCCCGATGGCACAGCGAGCGGTTGAGCGCTGGGTTGCGAAGCTGCCCACAGTTTCAGCGGCGCCGGTTCAATCCCCGGCCGCCGGGCGAGGGTCCCACATGGCGCGCAGACCTCTCCTGCCGCCCGCTGCTCCCCTCAGCAGTGTACCTCAGTCCTTCTGCCTGTTCCGCTCCCTGCTCTGGCTCTGGTGAATTCTCTCACCCTCCCGCGCTTCTGACTGTACCCAGTGCTTGTATAAATAAATAAAATCTTAAAAAAAAAAAAAAGTAAGCTATCAGAGATTTGTAACATGAAGAACATATAGGGAATTGCCTTTTAAAAAAGAAGATGGGCCTCCCTGGTGGCGCAAGGGGTTAAGTCTCAGCACTGTCAACCTATCCTCAGCCACTGCAGCGTAAGTTCGATCCAGGGCCAGGAAGCTGACCCATAAGGTGCAGCAGACCTCTCCAGTCTCTCCCGTTGCTCCCCTCAGCAGTGTATTTTAGTCAATCAGCCTGTTCTGCTCCCCACTCTGTCTCTGGTGAATCCTTTCACCCCACCTCACTACACCTCTGGCCTGCACCCCAGCTCTTACCTGCATAAATAAATAAATCTTAAAAAAAAAAAAAAAAAGAATGTGACATAAAAAAAATAATGAGAGGATAAGCAAGTCACACCCAAACCAATTCCAACTGTCAGGCTAAAAGTTTTGCTTTGTTATTTTAAAACCATTAACAATGACAGTTTTGTCAGGACAGTTAATTGAAGGCCCCAGAGGACTTCAAATCACAGAAACTTAGAAATACTCTTCTTTACCACCCAACTCTCCTTTCCCAGATGAAGAAACTGAGGCCCAGAGAACCTAAGTGACTTGCTAAAAGTCAAAAGCTGACTTTCAGGAAAGCTCGGAAGGATTGGCGTATTGCTGTATTCAGCTCAGCTACAGCCAAGAATATCCAATTAATTCCAGGAAAAGCTAATTTTAGTCACTATGGCCCTGGAACCCAGAAAAGAACACACCTACACCCTAACAAACTTTAGAAGACAGAGCTGTAAGATCAGGTCAGCTGTAATTCACAGTCCTAAACTCACCCACCACCACACACTCCCGAGGCTAGAAGCTATTTTTAAGAAAAACTTCTGCAATAAATTATAAATTAAAAGACAAATGCCAAATTGATCCTTTAAGCCACTTGTCCTCATCCTCTGCTGCACATCAGAATCACCTCTGATTTCTTCCAAAATGTCCCCCCAGAGCGAATATGCAGGACCGCTTACATCTATGGGGCAGGGCTGAACTCCATGGCCCTAGATCTCGTTTCCAAGGACATCCTTATTCTGAAACGCCACAGACAGGTATGGACTCCATTTGCCCCAGTAAGACTGTTCAGTTTCATCTCACAAAAGAAACCAAGCGTGCCCAGGGGCTTCCGACTACACAACAGCCTGTCTTCCGAAGCAGCAAGGAAGAGTACAACTGAGTCACAGAAGTTGAGACACTCTGATTTTAAGACAAGTGAGGCGTGCAGTCGAGGTCTATCCAGGAATTTAGGAACATACCAAGGCTCAGTGACACCAGGAAATGCATGAAGCAAAGAAGGCTTACATCATCCACCATGCCAGGCACGTGGTGTCAGAGCGTTTCGGATAAGATATTAACTTCAGTAAGAGGATATTTTCCATTTACATCGTCTATAAATACCCCTTAAGTTTATACCAGGTGGTTAAAGGAAGATTCTGCAGCTCCCCAGGGCAATAGCAAAGAATGTTTCAGTGTTTCTGAGGAGCCTCATTTGCCTGATGCATGACTGTTAAAGGTGCATTTCCCTACACCATCCTAAATCAGTTTTCACATTTGCATATTCCAGGTTTACTCAGCAATGTTCAACTTAAGAATCACAGGTGGTTGCTCAGTAAATCAAGGGCTCCCAGAAGATTCACTTTTATAATGCTTGTTGAAATTTACAGCCCCACTTTTGCATGTTTGAATTCAGATGACTCCAAGTTGATCCCAAAATTATAAATCAAAGTCTCTCAGAAGAGTATTATTCTATTTTAGCACTTTTACAGCTTACTCTATGGAAAGTGAAGTGCTATTTCCATGCTTTCTATAAAAAATTCAGCAAGGATTGTCGCAGGACTTCTTTCTGCAGACAACTCATCCCTTTTATAAAAACATCAAATACTTTCCAGCCTAATTTAGACTAACATGTTTATATGCCCAACCCTGCCACCCCAAACAAAAGCCAAGGCGCATTAGCAAGTGCACCCCTCTCCAAAATCCAATGCACACACAGGGACTTGTGCTGGAACACTGGCCAACTGATTAACTCTAATCTCTTAGAATGACAGGCCAGCTTTGATCAAATAACAGATAACTGAGTCATGTGAGTAGAAATAATGGCCAGGCACACAGGCTCTGGAATCAATCGGACCCCAGTTCCAGTCCTAGAAGTGTGATTTCAGGCCTCAGTTTCCTCCTCCAAGAAAGGGAGCTACTAACAGTGGCTGTGGCTTCCCTTTGTCCCCAGGACTACAGGAGATGATGGCTGCGAAGCACTTGCACAGTGATTACTCCATCAACAGGAGCTGTTATTAGTTGGGAGGGCCGAGCCCCCTCCCAAGTTCCAACCCCCCCCCCATCCCAAACACACGAAGCAAAACTCTTTTTACGTGATACACAAAGAAAGGGCTTTAGTGTAAAAAGGTCTGGCTCTCATCTTGGTCCTCGGGTTCCTCCAATGAATGAATGAGCGTCTAGGAGCGGCTCTGCACATAGCTGCCTCTTAAGAATCTCCTCTGCTGACTTTAGGGTAACTGTCTTTCCCCGTCAATCACACACCCACAAGCACCCCCGGAGCGAGGCTCTCCGGCCGTGCAAATTCCCGCGGCGACACCGCGTCCAGGCGAGCCTTGGAAGCCCACAGGCGGCCTCCATTCATTCTGCCCCGACCCCTGACCCCTCTGCTCAGCCCTGGGACCAGCCCCCCCACCCCACCCGGCCCTTACCCTCCCGCCGGGGGTCCCTCCCCGGTGCCTCGGCACCTCGCGTGACCCTGTCACCCCAACAAGTGAGGGGCTGGCGAAGGACCCAGCTCACCCCTGCCCTCGGCACCGCGGCCCGGGGTGCAGCCGTCCCCTCGGCCGCCGAGGAGGGGCGAAGAGCCGGCCGGGCCCGCCCCTCCTCCCCAGGGACCCGCCAGCCCCCGCGGGGCCCCGCCGGAGAGAGCGCGTAATAGAGGGAGGGGACAGCCCCGCGAACTCCCCTTCCCCGGACCCCCTCCCCAGGCAGCGGGCCTCTTGCCCTGGCCCCCCAGGGCCTCCCAGACTGGGGTTGTGGTGCCCCGGCTGCCCCGAGAAGCCCCTATGAGAGAGAGGGGGCGACACCCCCATACTCACCCACCGTCTCCTCCCCCTCAGCTGTTTACCTCACAGTTCTTCCAGCCGACAGGGCGCCGCCATCTTGGACGTACAGCACCTCCCCCGGGCGTGACGCGTCCACGGCGGCCGCCGCCTCCGCCACGACAAAGAGTCCCCCGCGCGCGCTCGTCTCCAGCTCGAGTCCAGCGACAGGCGACAGCGGCCGGCCGCCCCGCTGGACGGGCGGGGCCGTCCCGCTCATGACCTGGGGCGCGATGCCGCGGAGGAAGAGCGAGGAGGGCTGGGACGACAGGGGGCGGGGACGGGCGGAGGGATCCCGACGGGCGGCCGCTGAGAGATCTTGTGACTCCCAAGGAGGCAAAAAGAAGGGCCGGCGCGGTGGGAGGAGCCGCGCGGCGGCGCGAGGGGCGGGGCGGTCACGTGGCCGCGGCGGGGGCGGGGCGGGGCCGTAAACAAGCGCGCGGGCGGGGCGCGGGCGGGGGTCCCGGGGCGCCCCCCCGCCCCCCTCGCGGGCGCTGCGCGCGGGCCCGGGGCGAGCCGGCTCCTCGGCGCCGTCGGGGCCCGCGCGGGCGGGGTCTCGGGGCCCTCGCGGGGGGCCAGCGCCCCGGGCCCAGCGCCCCGGAGCCCCGCGGCGTGGACCTCGGCCTGCCCGCCCCTCGGACCCGGCCGCGGCTCGGGGCGAAGCCGCCCTGAGGGGGCGCCTCCGAACGCGAACCCCCGAATGCGGCGCGGCGCCCCCGCTTCCCGGCCGTGGACGCGGGCGCGTGCGGAGCAGCTGCCCTTGCTGCGCGGGGGCGGCGTCCGGGGGGCGTCGGGGCGGGCCGGGGGGTGCGGGCGGGCCGGGGTCCCCTCGCGCCGGGGGGCGTCGGGGCGGGCCGGGGTCCCTCGCGCCGGGGCCGGGGCGCCCAGTGGGAGGGGCGGGGGAAGGAGGGGCCCGGCTGGGCGCGGAAGGACGGGTGAGTCCCGCGAACTCCGGGGGGGCGAAGGGGGCGAAGGGGGTTCCCGAGAGCGAAGCCCCCGAGCGCCGGGGGGTTCTGGGAACAGCAGGTTTTGTCGGGGAAGCCCCCTGGGTCACGGGGCAAGGCCGCTGGCGACTTAAGGGGTGCATGTTGCGGGGGAGGGAGGCCCAGCAGGGCCCCCCCTTATGCAAACTTTGTGAAAATTAGAAAAACACATCCCCGGCGCCCACAGCCCCCGCGAGCAGAGCCCAGCAGTGCCCCCGCCACCCGCGGGCCCTGCCCTCGCCCGCACCCGCACCCCCACCGTCACCCCCACCCTCACCCGCAACCCCACCCGCACCCCCACCGTCAGCCCCACCCGCACCCCCACCCCACCCCACCCTCGCCCTCACCGTCACCCCCACCCCCACCCCCGCCCGCACCCTCACCGTCACCCCCACACCATCCCCACCCGCACCCCCACCCTCACCCCCACGCCTGAGCACCGTGGGGAGCGCGGTCTTGGCTGGAAGGACCGGGGTCCTTCTGGGTGAGCCTTATTTTCCTCACCCCCAACACGGAGGAACAACAGGGCCCCCCTAGTGGGGACTTGGGGGGTGGGCGAGCCCTGAAGCAGCAGCCCGAGCGCCTGCGGCAGTGGCCTTAGTCGGGCTCTGGGTAGCGGCAGGCAGGGCGGGGGCTGCGGTCACCCCGGGCTGCGGTCACCCCGGGAGCTGCTCCGCCGAGCGCTCCATTCCGTGTGGCCGCCATCCCCGAGGCCCAGGGAAGGACTAGGGGCAGGGGGGACAGGAGCGTCCCCTGCTTCCACCGCACCTGCCGCATCGGCCGGACTCCCGCCTTGGCTGCCGCAGGGACTCCGAGTGTCAAGGTTCCGCGACCCTGGTGAGGGAGAGCTCGGGTTAAGGGTCGGAGTTGGGGGACAGCTCTGTCCCGGCCCTGCCCCCAGGCGCCCCCTCCCAGCCCCTGGCTGCCCCCGGCTGGCGTGCTGTCCTCTGGAGGCAGCAGGGATGCAGGGGGGCTCCTCAGCTGGCGCCCCGCGCGGGCCATGGCCTTGTCACGTTGACACGGTGTCCCGAGAAGGGTGGCAACGGCTGGCTGGATGGCGGCCGCGGGGCCGTGCGGGAGACTGGAAGGCAGGGGTGGCGCCCCAGGATCTCCTGCTGCCTCCCGCTCTGCACACCCACTGCCTCGCTGCATGCGCCTCTTCAGGACGGACTGTCGCCCCTGCTAGAGCGCGGTGCTGGACAGACGTGATCACACCTTCCCCGCGCCACCCTGGGGCCTCCTGTGCTCTCACGCTCACTGCCCGCCTGTCTGGGCAAGATGGCAAAGGACAGGGCAGAGCCCATGCGGACAGGGGGTGCTAGCTCCACCCCGTGAGGGCTTCCCTGGCATGTCTGCTCAGCGTCTCCCCCTTCCTGGGGACAGCCACGGTACCACCCGCAGCCCACGGGCACGTGGACCCGACCTAGCCAATGCGAGCCGGGCCCCGAACCCACGTGGCTGGCCAGGCGGCTTGACTGGGCCAGTAGCGCCTGCCGGGTCTTTCCCTGTAGATGCCGAGTGCGCGGTTTTGTCTGCTCTGGGGTAGCTTAACGGGGTGAGGAAGCGGTGACCCTCCTGTCCCCACTCCGCTTCAAGGGCTCTGAGGAGTGTGGCCAACAGATGGGGGCGAGAGAATTAGGCAAAGACGGAAATGTAGGGGGGGCATTTCCTGAAGGTCCTGCTCCCCCCACCCCCACCCCCCGTCCTCCAGGCCCCGCAAGGCAGCAGCTGTCTTAGCTGACGCATTTGGGGTTTCTGTCCCTTGCAAACAAAAGGCCCTGCAGGGGCCATAGGACTTGAAGGCCTTTGGAAGGGCCTCCCTGGTGGCACAAGGGGTTAAGACGCAACCTGTGAAGCTGTCCGCAGCCTCTGCAGCGCCAGTTCAATCCCCGGCCAGGGAGCTACCCACATGACGCGGCAGACCTCGTCTGTCTCCCCGCTGCTCCCCCCAGCAGTGGATTTCAGTCATTCCTCCTGTTCTGCTCCCCGCTCTGTCTCTGGTGGAGCTTCTCACCCCCCACACCTCTGGCCTGTACCCCAGCTCTTGTGTGCATAAATAAATGAATCTTTTTTTAAAAAAAAAAAAAAAGGCCTTTGGAAGGACCCTTGTCCAAAACACTTCCGCCTTGGAGTCTGAGGTCCGGCCACTGGAGTTGTCTTCTTGCTGCAGCTCTCAACTTCCGGTGTAACAGCCCCACCCCCCAGCCCCCCAGCCTCGCATCCCCTTCACTTCTGCAAGATCGGGCCCCAGCTCCTGACAGTGGCCCATGCATGCCGAACCCCTCTGGCCATCTCTTCGAGGTGTGGCGCTGTGTCCAGGTGGGCTCAGACACGCACACCTCTGCTCCTGCAATAACAAGGGGCTGCCTGTGCTGGGTGCGAGTATTTTAAACTCAGGTCAACAGTGTGGATTGTGGATTGCTGTGTCTTCCCCCCACTTGATGTCACGTTGTACAGTTCCCTGAACACTGCTGTATGCGGCTGTCAGGGCTCTGCTGGTGAGTCACAGGGATGTAGATTCCCCCCCACACCCCACTTTCCTGGGCACAGCACCCATCATACCACTGGAGGCTGCACACGGTGAACCCTGCCCCTCCCGTATGGCTCCAGCTGTGAATTTCTTGGGGATGCCTAACTAGGGGCAAGACTGGCGGCCGCAGAGGGCACAAATACACCTTTTGTTCTTGTTCGAGAATGTTTGTTTACCTTGATGAAGAAATAATCGGGCACACGCCCAGCACTCGTCACGCCTGCACCTTGATGATTTGGGACATAAGTGTGCAAAGGGGTGGCCCGTGATGCACCTGCACAGCCCAGGCCCCACACGTATTCACCATGGCCAAAAATGTTGCATAGACTTACTGAACGTACCCGGTGGTTCCTCAGGACGGCGGCCCAGTCACTCCCAGTGGAGGCCCGCGGGAGTGCCAGCTCCCTGCCAAGGCTTGGCACTGGCCAGCTCTCCTGTTTCCAGGAGGGTAGCCAGAATGACGTGCTGTTCTTCGAGCTCCCTCTCTAGTGACGAGAGGGCACCTCTCTACTTGCTTGTGCGTCTTGTGGGGTTCTTCCCCTGGAGATGCTGAGGCTTCTCTTTGGACCACCCATCCAGGGGGATCCCTGTCTCTGTCGACGTGCCTGCTGCGTTCTAGAAATGCCTCCCTTGGTGGCGATAGCTACCTCAAGTGGGTTCCTCAATCTGATCTATCTGTATTGTACTTCAATAAAAAAAGACATTAATTTTGATGTTCCCAACTTCATCCTTTTTTGACTAATATTTTGGGCTTTGAGTTTGTTGAAGCATGCCAGAATGAGAGGCGGTAATGGCATTGGAAGAATCGCCATGTTGCAGCCACCCGTGAAGTAATCCATTCAGGCAGAGCCGTGGTAGTCCTGGGTGTGACGCATCAGGGCAGGCTGCGGGGGACAGGAGGCCGCTGGTGCCAAAGTCCGGCCGCACAGGTTGCTTCTTAACTCCTCTTTACGGCGGAGGGCGCTGGCCTCCCCACTTTAACCCAGCACCCCCGAGGTGCCACGATCTGACGTTCCGTCCCACGGAAAGACAGCATCCCCTGTGGAGTATCCGAGCTGAAAACACCTCACCTGGATCTGTTCAAGCCTTGAGCCTAACTTCCAGCGGAGAGGGGCTGCAGGAGCAGGTAGGACAGCACAGACGGGAGACAAGGGCACAGTTCCAGAGCCGGAACCTGGGCCACCTGGGCCCCCCGGTCTGGGCTGTTTTGACAAAACCACAGCTGGAAGTAGGCGCAAGGGGGCGCTGCTCCCCCACACAGCAGGCGCGCCGCCCGCTGCTTTCAATTCCGTGCTGGGACTGCAGGGCCTTGATTTTAGACGAGCAACTCTGGGAGAAAATTGGGAGCCGTGGCAAAACCGTGCCCGTGGATTGGAAATATGACAATATTAGCGAATCGTGGGTAATTTTCTTAGGTGTGCTCATGGTCCTGGTGACCTGATGAAGTCGGAGCTATCTGGACCTTTCTTTACGGGGCACGTGCTGTTTGTGGGGGAGACGTCATGATGCCCGCAGTATGTTTTATTTCTAGATATTTTATCAAAACAAAGCCTGTTCCTACAGCCAGAGGGGCCTGCAGAGAGGAAGCCTATTTGGC